ATTCCAAGCCGCTCTCTTCCTCCTGCGCAACTCAGGTGCCAGGTCATCATGTTGATTTCTTGACCTAGGTATATATAACTGTTGCATTCGGAGATGGTGGTTCTGTTGAGAGCGAATGGAGCGTCAGGAACAAGGCTGTTTCTCATAAACATTGTCTTCTTAAGATTCAGCTGTAGTCCTACCTTTCCACATTCACGGTCAAAGTCGTTCAGCATTTGTGCCGCTTGGCTGATGTTTCGTGTTATTAGAAGGATGTCATCAGCAAAGCGGAGGTGGTGTAGTTGCCGACCATCTCTCTTCACTCCCATGCTTTCTCATTCCAGTTGTCGCATGATGTTCTCGAGGGTGGCACTGAAGAGTTTTGGTGAAATGGTATCACCCTGCCGAACCCCTCTCTTGATATGGATGATTACTTCTTTGTAGAATGGTGAGATCTTGGTAGTGAATCCGCAATAGAGCTCACGAAGGATCCTGATGTAGTGAGTTTGTACGCCCTGATTGGCTAGGGCTTCCATGACCGCTTCCTTCTCAACAGAATCAAAGGCCTTCTTTAAATCAATGAACGTTAGACAGAGCGGCATCTTGAACTCCCAAGAAACCTCAATGAGCTTAGTAATCGTGTGGATATGGTCGATGGTACTGAATCCTTTTCGGAATTCGGCTTGTTCACATGGTTGTCCTTCATCTAGTGTTCTGCAAATCCTATTCAGGATGACTCAAGTGAACAGTTTGTAGACGACAGACAATAGGCAGATTGGGCGATAGTTGCCAATGTCGTGGATGTCTCCCTTCTTGTATAGTAGTATAGTCCTGCTGGTTTTCCATTGCGATGGAACCTTGCATTCAGACAGGTAGCGTGTGAAGAGCCGAGCCAATGTATTGATGAGTACTGATGGTAAGTTCTTCAGGTGTTCAGGTCTGATCTTGTCTGGGCCAGGTGCTCTTTGTTTCTTTACCGACGAGATGGCATGTTGGATTTCGGAAGGGAGAACATTGGGAACGACATATCCATCATGTGGTATGTGGTATGTGGGCAAGTGGACGTGGCTATTAAAGAGATCTGAGTAGAAGTCATGAATAATCTTCTCCATTGCCCTTCTGGAAGATGTGATAGATCCATCATGATGTCGGAGGGCAGTCATCTTGGTTTTGTAGTTGGTGAAGGACAAGCAGGCATTACGAATGCTTTTCCCAGCTTCTGCCACATCTACCAGTACTGCTGCTCTCCTGTTTTTGAGGTCATCCTTGATGGCTTCTCTGCACTGTTTTGCCAGTTCGGATGTTCGCTTGTGGTTGCCTGAGGCATGTGCCAAGCCACGTTGGCGAATAAGTTCAAGAGTGTTCGAAGAAAGGCAGTTTTTTGTGTTTATCTCTCTTTTGGCATTCCTCGCACAATCATGGAGGTGCTGAATCATTCGATCGTATTCCTCATCAATGTTGTCAATGACAGCATCTTCCCATGTTGCCGCAACAGAGCCAAAGAGCTCCCAGTTGGTGGTTGTTCTGGGAGTCCTCTTCTTAAACCTTGCATTCTTTTCTCCTCGTTCTGTGAGGTAGAATTTTGCACGAAGAAGACGGCGGTCTGATCCCGTTTGGAATTTTGGGACAACAGCAACATCGGTTAGGCAAAACTGCCGATTGAATATGATGTGGTCTATTTCATTGTGAAACCGTCCATCGGGAGACTCCCATGTCCAACGTTTAAATTCAGCCTTTTGGAACTGTGAGTTACCATAGAAGGTTTTGGTTGACATGATGAACTCAGACAGTCTGTCACCCTGTTCGTTCCATTCTAGGCCATGGGTCCCGATGTGGAGTTCATTGACTGATCTTCTTGGTCCTATCTTGGCATTAAAATCACCGACAATGATCTTGTAGAAGGTGTGATCTTCTTTATAGATATAGAAATATATATATATATTCATATAAAATATATAAAATATAATCATCAGGGAGATGAAAATCAGAACAAGCTATCAACTCATGCCACGGAGACTGGCACAGATCCAAGAGAACAAGAACAACCAGTGCTGGTGTGGATACAGGGAGAAAGGGACTCTCGGTCATTGCTGGTGGGAATGCCAACTGGTCCAGCCTTTTTGGAAAACAGTATGGGCATCCCTCAAAAAAACTAGAAATTGAGCTTCCATACAACCCAGCAATATGGGAATATATCCTAGGGCCCCCCCAAAAAAACATAACGCAGAAAAGGCATCATTGCAGTTCATTGCAGCACTATTCACAATAGCCGGAATCTGGAAAAAACCTAAGTGCCCAAGAACAAAAGACTGGATAAAGAAACTATGGTACATCTACATAGTGTAATACTACGCAGACACTAGAAAAAATGAAGTCATAAAATCTGCTTAGACATGGATGGATATGGAGAGTATCATGCTGAGTGAAATGACTCATGCTGGAGAGTGATAAGATGTAGAATGGCAGCGGTAGGGCATTTGCCTTGCACACAGCCAACATGGCCGACCTGAGTTCGATTCCTCCGCCCCTCTCGGAGAGCCCGGCAAGCTGCCGAGAGTATCTCGCCCGCACGGCAGAGCCTGGCAAGCTCCCCGTGACGTATTCGATATGCCAGACACAGTGTTCATTTGCAGGATATTAAAAACAACATAGTATGAGACCAAAGACAGTAGAAACAAGGGCCAGAAGGACTGGTCCATAATTGGAAGCTTGCCACAATTAATGGTATGGGGGAATGCAGTTAGAACATTTCTTTTATTTACTCCAAGGCATCTAGTTTTTTTTGCTGTAACTGTGAAAAGGATTGTTTTCCTAAGTTCTCTTTTAGCTAGTTCATTATGTACATATAGAAACACAACATATTCTTACGTATTAATCGTCTATACTGTCACACTGTGATAATGATTGTTGGTCCAACAAAAGTTATTGAAGATACTTTCTATGCTCCAGCATAAGCTCTTGGTTCCTTGGTCATTACCAAGTTGGCCATGTACATGTGATTTTTATCTTAGATTTCAATTCTGTTCTGTTAATTGTGTTTTATTCCAATACCATGCTGTTTTAATTATCATCATGTAGTGTAGCTTGAATTATGGGAGCATGCTTCCTCCATTTTTGTTTTATTCTCATGTTTTTAAAATTCAGAATCTTTTGTAGTTTCTAATAAATATCATGACGATACTATTTCTGTGAATAATTCCATTTAAATTATGACAGAGGTTACATTCAACCTGTATACAGCATTAGGAAAGATAGCCATTTTAAGACAATACAGGATACATTACAATCTCTTCATTTCTTTTATCAATGTCATTAGTTTCAAGTTACACTTCTTTTATTTACTCCAAGGCATCTAGTTTTTTTTGCTGTAACTGTGAAAAGGATTGTTTTCCTAAGTTCTCTTTTAGCTAGTTCATTATGTACATATAGAAACACAACATATTCTTACGTATTAATCGTCTATACTGTCACAAAGGTCCTCTACTTACCCATATCTTTCCACTTAGTAAGCTAATGACTAAAAGGTAAAGGTAAAGGTAAAGGCCCTCCCATTGATCGTCGATTTGCTCCAGCGGGCCCAGTAACGTCTCCATTGGAGACTTTGTTGTTACTGTGTCTGGCATATCGAATACTCTTGGTAGCTTGCCGGGCTCTCCGAAGTTAATAATATTCATTCCTCTTATTTAAGGTTCTAAATCAGTGTTTCTCAACCACAACCATTTTGCCTAAAGAAAGAACATCTGGAAATGTTTGCAGATCTTTGATTATCACAAATAGGGGACTGAGATACTATTACTGGCATCTCAAAAACACAACCAGGGGAGACTAGGAAACATCAAGCAATACACAAGAAAGCCCCTCATTATGAAAAATAAACTAGTCCAAAAAATGCCCAATAGCACCAATATTTTTTTAATTCTGCTAAAATGCAAAATACTATTTTTAATTTAACGTAAACCTTTGCAAGTCTTCAATTCAATGGTAGAAAATTTAAAGTTGCTTACTTTCCTCATTTTATATAAATTCCCAGTAGTCGGGAAGAAAGTTTTCTCTTGACTTCTATGATATCTAAATTCCCTGATTTTATTTTGGCCTACTGGGCATAACTTCTCAGTCCGTTCTGTTACTCTTCAACGCTGTTTAGTTCCCAATGTTGCAATAACCCTTGATTTTGCTGTTATCCTCGTTTTCCCCCCTAATCTCAGTCAGTAGTATGCCTTTAACTATATCTACTGCTGACAACGTCCAAATGTATAACTAAACCTTAATCTGCTTCCCCACTCACTTCAGACTGAGACAATCTGTAACTTCCCTTCAACGTATAATCGAAGTCAATGCCTAAAGAATGACTATAACAAAATCTCCATTATAATTAACAAACATGTGACGCTGAGACTGGGGGGCGGGGTGCACAGGGAGGGACAGAGCTTTGGGAAGGGTCACAGGGAGGGTCAGACCCAGGGGAGAGCTGAGTGAAGGGGCACAGGGAGGGTGGGAGGGAGGCTGCAGGCGGGTGAGAGTGGGGGTTCTGAGGAAGGGTGGGGGGTTGGCTGAGGGAAGGTGAGGAGAGGGTAGGAGGGGGGAGGAGGGCTGAGGGAGGATGGGAGGGGGGAATGAGGAGGGATGAACCGGGGAGGCTGAGGGAAGGTGGGACGGAGGGCTGAGGGAGGGCGGGACTGGGAACGGGCTGAAGAGAGGTGGGAAGGGGCCTGAGGGAAGGTGGGAAGAGGAGGCGCTAAGGGCTGAGGGGGGTGGGGCGGAGGGGCTGAGGGAAGGAGGGACGGAGGGCTGAGGAAACGCGAGACGGGACCTGAGGGAAGGTGGGACAAGGGGGGCGCTGAGGAAGGATGGGACGGGGAGGGGGGCTGAGGCGCGCGCCGAGGCCGGGTCGGGAGTCTGAGGCTCCGGGTCTGAGGCGCCTCCGTCCCGCCAGTGCCCGTCGCCTGGCGGGACTCCCGCGCGTCCCCTTCCGGACGACGGCGCCGCCCAAAACGGGCCCGCGCGCCTCGGGGAGGACTCACCGGCTCCGACGCGGTTGGGGCGGGACCGTCCCGGCTCCCGTCGGCGGCGCGTAGGGCCCGGAAGTGGTGCCGGAAGTGGCGGCGGCAGGCGCGGGGCCGGAAAGCGGCGCCGGAAGTGACGGCGAGGGGCGGGGCTAAGCCCGGGTCCCGGGAAGGGCGCCGGAAGTGGCGGGGCGCGGCGACGCGACGGCCCGGAAGTGGCGGCGGGCGCTCCGGAAGGAGACGTGGCGGCGGTTGGGGCCCCGCTGCCCGCTCGCGGCCGGCCGCCTCCTCCCTGCGCCCGGCTGGCGGCGGCTGAGAGCGCGGCGGAGGATGGAGGGCGGCGGCGCGCGGAGCCCGCTGCTGCTGCTGCTCTGCGGCCTCCTGCGGGCAGCGGGCGGCGGCCGGGCGCTCCCGCCGCTCAGCGATGACATCCCCTTCCGAGTCAACTGGCCCGGCACCGAGTTCTCTCTGGTCAGTGCCCACGCGGACCCGCCGCTCGCCCCTTCCTGCCGCCCGCCGGCCCTCGCCACCCTCCTCCTCTTCCTCCTCTTCCCTCCCCGCCCGTCCGGCGCCCTGCACCCGCGCCCCTGCCGCCACCCTGCAGGAGAGCCTGCGAGCCCCGCGGGCGCGGTCACTCCTCTCCGGCCGCTGCCGGCCCCCTGGTCCTCCCCTGCCCGGTGTGCGCCGCCCGGGCCGCACTGCCTCCCTGCTCGTGCCCCACTCTTGCACACTCGCGCCTCTCTTCTATGCGCACGCACACGCACACACGTGCACACACTTGCATACACACGCAGGCACGTGCACACGTGCATGCACGCACACGCATGCAAACGCACACACCCCTTTTCCTTCCGGACCCCTTTATCGAGAAGCCTTCTGATCTGCGAGCTGTTGGCGACCCTCTCTCGCGACGACCCTCTCTGCGGAATATCATTTACGGTGTTTATGTGCCTGAGGCTTAAGGCCCTAGCACAGGAGTTTTACCCGGTTCTGCCGCAGTCCAGAGTGCGTTCAGGAGCGGTCCTACCCCCCGGAATAGGCTGTTGTCAGTTCAGCCACCTGCGGGTCGTGCTTTTTACTGGAGGGCCATGCTGGAGCAAGTGTTCGCTCCTGAACCCCTAGGAAATGCAGCGGGGGAGGCGGTGGGTCCTTCCCGTCGATGCTCAGGGCTAACTCCTGCCTCTGTGCTCAGGGCTCACTTTGGGGTGCTCGGAAACACCTGTGTGGTGCTGGGGAGCAAGCGGGGGGTCGGGGGGGGGGGTCAGCCACAGGTGAGACCAGCGCCTTAGCCCCTGCACTGTGACTCTGCCACGAAAGTACAGGTTTTTTTTTTTTTAATATTTCTTACTCTGCCTACAGCCTTCCAACCGGGCAAAGTATTTTATGGCACTATTATTATTTTATTTCGACTTTAGTGATGCGGTGATGGTACAATAAGGTTTACCATGATAGTGAGGTTTACCATGATAAGTGATATCATCACCACGGAACAGCTCTCGATGCAAATATTGGTTTTTGCATATGTTTCATTTTCATCACACCTGTTTCATTTCTCTACACCTGTTTTTCAGTTCTCCCATTTTGGCCCTTTGATGGGTTTTTAATTGACCTAAGAGTTTCTCTGCTAAACCAGGTTTATCTTTATATTAGTACCAAGAAAGCCGGGTACATTAAAAAGACTTACATTAAAGTTTCTTCTAGGTCAGATATAATTTTAGCAGACTTGGAGTGAAACTCTGGTCCAAGTTCTATTATTATTTCCAATAACACACATTTTAAAATATGTGGTCATTAAAATTTTTTTTTCAGTCTTGAAGCTGTTTTAATTTTTAAGAACATTTTATTGGCAGCCATGCAAGCTTACTAACCTCTGTGTATAGAATAACTAAAAGGAACCCTTTTAGAAGTTGCCTCCAAACTGCTCATCTCTTTTCTTTGACACAGGTTAGTGGCTTTAAAAGAGGGGGAAAGATTCAGGTCTTCTGTCTGCTGTGCCAGCACTATTTTGCTTTGAAACTCATACTGGGTTCTCTTTAGCTGTGCAGCATAAGAAGATGTGCACATTTGAAGGTCAGGGGTGCGGGTGGGTGTGGGGAGGAGCCTCCTGCAGTGCTGAGGAGAGCCTGGACCTCTCCCCCCCCCCACCATAGTCTGTGCCAAAGGTGGTTGGTAAGGCTTCAGCGCTGCGCCCTGAGTCATACCAGGAAAAAGTCAGGGTGGTCTCAATGGGATGCATGCACCTTGGTCCCTTACAGTCTCTCCAGACCCTTGCACGGGGAAAGTTTCTATTTTTATTCAAAAGTTTTAGTTATTTTGAGAGAAAGTGTTTTTTATATGTAACATTTAACAAAACATAAATCACAAGAATTGCTGTCATTGGTCTTCTGATATTTTTTTTTTTTTGCCTCTTTTATGATCTGAAATCTTCCTTTCTTTATGTAATCCAAATTCCTGCCCCTTCACCTGTCACTGTCATTTTTCCCTCTGGGTCAGTTAGACATTTTTGTAAAACCAAGCAGCTGCATTAGCCAGAGTAAGGGCCTTTGTGTCACTGCCATCTGAAACTGGAGGAGGCTGGATTGAAAATTTGAATAGCCTTTTTTATTTTAGCTTTAAAATTCTTCTCTGCTTCAAGTCATCTTCCCGTTGAGATACATCAGTACTCCACGTCAGCCTTACAGTCCTGTTTCCATGATTGCTTAGAAAAAGGCACCCAAAATGTGCTATATTTTAAAGTCAATTATAATCCACTTTACTGAGTTTTAGCATTAAAATTTGTCTTTGAGTATGTAGTTTCCATCTTAAATTTTGTCTGCCATTGGTTATTTATACATGGATGTCACCAAAATAAAGCCACAAAGTGAATTTTCTCTCTACTTGTTTTGGTTTTGTTTTGGTTTTGCAGTGCCAGCGATTGAACCCAGGCCTCTTCAAACATGCACTGCAGGTGCTGTGCTGGCCAGGCCACGTTCCCGACCCTTTCTGTTACTGTTTGCTTGTATTCCCACTCAAAAAATGGTCCTAAGAACTGCATTTGACCAAGTGGTGGCTAAGTCGACATTTCCAAGCATATGTTGCTAAATTGTTTTTAGTAAATTTTACAGCCTCTTCCAGGAAGAGGTTTTTTTTAATCCTCCTTGAGCCCTCTAACTTTGGAAGTCTCCCCCAGGCCAGGACATTTTTTAAATTCCTTGCGCTGGGCCTTTATTGCCCTGCAGCTAGCTGGAGCATGCGCCTTCTGTGAAGTATGCAGGAGGCCACGGTTCAATCCCCACAACTGCCAGGAGTAACCCTCAGCACTGAGATATCGCCCCCCCCCCAAAGTATTCCTCAGCCTACAGAATTTTACCGAATTTGGTTGACTTCCTCATGGTAAAATCTGATTTTCAGCGATCACTGATACTATTTCTTATCCCAAAAATGCTTTATAGTATTATGTAAAGGGAGTTTTTTTGTCATTTCTAATTTTGTGTATTCATAATGTATTATGGTTTCTTGTTTTGTTCAGAGGTTTTTTTTGACACCCCCACCCATCAATGCTCATGCCTACTGTCACTGCTCAGGGGCCAGGGGATTATGCATGCAAGGAATGGAATTTAGCCTCTCCCCAACGACTGTGGTTCATTTTCTCCGACAAACATCTGTCTCTCCAAACCAGAAGGAAGCTTCTGGGGGGCTGGTTGTTGGGGTCAGTGCTTAGGGCCCATAAGGTCACGCCACATGGTGTTCAGAGGGCCTTGCAATGCTGGAAATCCAAATCAGAGCTTCCTGACTCTGCACTCGGGATAATTCCTGGCGGTTCTGGGGGGCCATATGGGATGCTGGGGATTGAATCTGGGTCAGCGGCGTGCAAGGCAACCGCCTCCCTGCTGTACTATCACTCTGGCCCTGAGATATTTCAACCACATTTTCAAGCTCGTTGTTGTAGTTTGGGTCTCTTGCTCTCCGTGTTACTATGTGGTTAAATATATACACATACCACACCTCTACACCACCAAGGTATCTGAGACCCCTGTGACCCCATCCCCATTACCTGCTGTCCACCTCTCCTAGCTCCATTCTTTAAAACAGACCAAGGAACGAAAGTCTTTATCCCCTCGACGTAAGCCCAAGAGCTACCTTCCTTTCCTTGCTGTCGTTCCAAACAAGTAATTCCTTCTACTGTCATTAGCATCGTGGTGGACCATCTTAGTAAATCGATTGATGGCTCTGTTGAATTCAAGTCTGCGCGCTAGACTTGCCAGGTGTATCACCTATGGGTGTGGTGATATCAGTTGTGCTTCCGTGTCCTTTCTGAGGTAAATGATTTGACAAGATACCAGGCCATTCATTGCCAAGTGGATGAGTCATACTTTGCTTAACTCACTCATTATAAGTGTATCTGAAAAAAAAAACTGAAAGCATTGTTATCTTAGAGCAATTTGTTGGCATAATAAAGTCCTTCAAGATCCCTTTATGATGCAGACCTCACTTACACCGCTGATTGAATTCACCTCTTAAAGAATGTTGCTGTAATCTAGGAGTCTATATAGCCATATTCTGGGGTCCCTGGGGTCCAGCTTGGAACTTCACACGTGCTAGACAAGTGTTCTTCATCTAGGTGACAGCCCAGCTGTTGTGTATTGTAATCTTAAAGGATTTAACAAAAAAATGACCTAAAACTGTTCAGACCTGGGCAGAGGGAAAGCCCTTGCCTTGCGCATGTGTAACCTGGGAACTCGTGTGCCCCCGCCACCCCTGCCAGTAGCGAGCCCTCAGCACAGACAGAAGTAAAGCCTGAGGTCAACCCAGTGTGGCCCCAAAACTGACACCTCCTGAAATGCAGTACCTAAGAGGAGTGGTTCTCCCCTTGCCAGGTGTTGTCAAATAGTGTTGTTCTGCTTTTGCTGTAGCACTGTAGCACTGTCCTCCCATTGTTCATTGATTTGCTCAGAGGGCACCAGTAACATCTCCACTGTGAGACTTCTTGTTACTTTTTTTGGCACATCTAATACACCACGGGGAGCTTGCCAAGTTCTTGATCGGGATACTGTCGGTAGCTTGCCAGACTCTCTTGAGAGGGGCAAAGGGGCTGAGGAATTGAACACGGGTTGGCTGCATGCAAGACAAATGCCCTACCCACTTTGCTGTCGCTCCAGCCCCTGTGCTATCACTCCAGTGATAAACATACTCTATAAAATTATTAAAATAGAACTTTAAAACCCACACTTCAGTTTAAAGCTCCTATAAAGTTATATTTGTATATATCATGAGGGTCTGTACATATGAAGACATAATAAATGTAAGTAGTTCAAGACAGGGCTTCTTCCACTCGTGACCCTTTTTTTTTTTTTCCCAAAGAATTCAATAGGGCTCAGGTGAGTGCCACCAGAAACAACTTGGATTCATCACACATTTGGTTTTAAGTGAATTTTTGGTTATGGTGAGACATTTTACTCTTGCAAATGTTTCTGTGACATCCACATTCAATTACTTAGCCCTATCTATATCTTAAGTTGTATAATCCCCGTAATTTAAGAAGCTAGTACTGCTTTTACAGTACTGCAAAAAGAGAAAAGGTGACACTGGGTTGAATTTTCATAGGGCTCAGATCAAAAACCTTTGCCTTAGGTCTTTTTGGTATCTTAGGACTTTGTGACACGTTTGGTATAACAAAGCAGAGCCACCTTTTTTTTTTTTAATTTTTATTAGTGAAACACCATAAGGTACAGTCGTAGACTTACAAATCTTTGTGCTTGGGTTTCAGTTATACAATGATTGAATACCCATCCCTCCACCAGTGCCCATTCTCCACCACCACTGATCCCAGTATCCCTTACACCCCCCATCCCCCCCATCCCACCCTACCTCTGTGGCAGGGCATTCCCTTTTGTTATCTCTCTCCTTTTGAGTGCTGGAGCCACCTTTTTTAAAGTTAAATAATACCAATAATATTGAAATGTTCATTCTAGTTATATTGATTCTGATTTTGTGAAATCTAAATTGAAAGCTTTAAGGATAGTTTTGTTTTACATATATCATCAGGAGTTGACAAACTACAGACTTTGGGCTGGCCTCCCATCTGTTTTTGTAAGTAAAGTTTTAGAATAGTCATACCTGTTAATTAGTACCTGTGTGCTTGCTGGCTACAATGATAGTACTTGGAGGAAGTAGAAATCATATGGTCCACAAGAATGAAATGTTTACTGTTTAGCTCTTTACAGAAAAAGTTTGCCGACACATGTATGACATATGCTAAGTAAATAGGACTGGAGCGACAGTGCAGTGCTTAGGCCACCTGCCTTGCATGCAGCCAACCAGCCAGCCAGGGTTCCACACCGGTCAGCCCCTCATAGGATCTCTCGAATATGACTGGGCTTGAGCCGTGGGCAGGGAATGAGCATTGCCAGTGTAGCCAAAAACTTTACCAACTCTTCCTTTTAACATATCTAGACTATGGCCCCCTTTTTCACAAAAACAGAAAACTACCTCAAAGTTACACGGGGGTTACTCCCACCCCAAGCCCCACCCTTCCTGTGTCCCCCAGGGTGCTGTACTACCCACTGTGGGAAACAGATACTGTAATCAATTTTGTCCAGTCATTTTAAAAAATGAAATCTTAGGCAAGAGAGATACATCAGCCAGCCCTGGCCTGGCCCCGGCCCCATCCCAGACACCACAAATGGTCTCCTTGAGCACTGCCAGGGGTCACTGGCACAGAGTCAGAAATAACCCCTGAGAACCAGAGTGGGGCCCCCAGACCAAAAAAAAAAAAAGGTGGAGATAATGAAATCTTACCATTTACCAACCATTTACAAATCTTAACCATTTACAACAACCATGTACGTTATTCTAAGTGAACTAAGTCAGAGAAAAAACAAATAAGTGATCCTATATGTGGATTTTTTTTTTTAATGTCCAGGCTCATAAATAAAATGTATTGAAGGTTGGGATCAGGTAGGTATGGGAAAGGAGTAGGATGAGAATGGGTCAAAGGTATCAACAGATACAAACTTCTGGTTATAGAATAAGTCGTGGTCATTCAGATGTAATGCACAGCATGGAGATGTCATTTGAAAGTTGCTCAGTAGAGATCTTAAAAATATCACAAGGAAAAAATGTGTAACTGTGTGGAAATGGATGCGAACAGTATAACTGAAAGTAGTATTATATGGCATTTGTATGTTTTAAACGGCAGTTTATTCATACAGTGACCAACTGAAAAAAAAATTGGGCTGTGTTTTTCTAGTACACCAACAGAATTGAGAGTGTTTGTAAATTGATAGAGTCACATTAGGTAGAACAGAGAGTATTCTGTGTGGTGTATCTGTCTGTGTATTCATTGCCTCTTAAGCTTTTTTAATTCACATTTGAGTTTGTTGTTTCGCTTAAGTTTTTCTTGATATTCAAAGTTTTTTATTCATCTTTTTTCTACTACATTGTAATATCCATGGTAAAGTTTTTCCTCTTTATTTTGTCATTTAAAAATATATAGAACCATTTCTCTACCTTTGGAAATGTGATGTTAAAATCATTTGTTGAAATGAGTTCATTTCACCTAGTATAGAAAATTATTCAGTGCAGCACAATTTAGAAAAAGTCACTGTCTCTGTCCTCCCGTCGTTCATCGATTTGTTCAAGCGGGCCCAGTAACATCTCCATTGTGACACTTTTTACTGTGTTTGGCATATCGAATACGTCACGGGTAGCTTGCCAAGCTTTGCTGTGCTGATGAGATACTCTCAGTAGCTTGCCAGGCTCTCCGAGAGGGGCGGAAGAATCGAACTTGGTCAGCCAGGTTGGCCATGTGCAAGGCAAATGCCCTACCCGCTGGCTACCACTCAGAAAAAGTAATAAACATTTTTTTTTCTTCTTAGCCTACAACTGGAGTTTTGTATAAAGAAGATAATTATGTCATCATGACAACTACACATAAAGAAAAATATAAATGCATTCTTCCCCTTGTAACAAGTGGAGATGAGGTAAGTTTGAATAAATATATTGATAATCCCTGTCATCAAAGGTATTTATTGCAACCACACTCTTTAAATAAAATTAAAAGACAAGTTTATAATAATCCTCTTTTACCATATTTTACCTATTTCATTCCTGAATTCTTTAATTTTACAGTTCAACTTGGAAAAATCAGCCTCTAATTATTAGTGATTTGAATGAAAGTCAAACTCCATGCTTGCTAACTTTCATAAAAATGGGGATTCTGAAGAGAAATTTTATGTGTATATTTGACTTTTTTATGAATAGTTTCTCATAAACAAACCTAGAGGTTCCCCTTTGCTTTCTCAGTACTTAGATCATGCCCGTTTCTTCCTCCTAAAATGTCCTAACTGCCTCTTATCCATCCTTCAAGGCAATGACTTCTTGGAAGATGGAACAGGAGAGGCAGCATGGTAGAGTGGACAGGACACCGGCCTAGGCGCCAGGAGGCTGAGGTATAGGCTATAGTCAGCTGTGGAACTTGGACCGATCCAAAACGCAATTTCTCCACTCAATTCATTGAGCCTGTTACATAATATTTTCACAATCTGTAAAATGAAAAGAATCAAACTCAATGAGTCTTCCTTAGGTTTTGTTCAAATTTTATTTGTTCAAATTTTAAATCACTGCCAAAAAGCTTTCTGTTTCATTTTGTTTTACACAGATAAAACCAGTCATATACATATATGGCATTTAAATCTGAAGTGTAAAACTATAAAGAACTGAGAAGTACCTTAAAACTTTCTAAACTTTCTAGTATATTCTACAAGGTTGAAAATTCTGAATGTTCTGTAGCTATAGAATTTTTGGAATTCAAGTGTTTAAAAATTTCAGAATAGGTTTATGAAAATTGTCCTGAGAATTAATGTTCTAAATCCCCCTTTAGGAGAAGAAAGAATAGAAAATTATTCTGTGGCTCCATTTTTATACTTTAAGTATTTTGAAAGTGTGACATATCATAGGATTATATTAGAGATTTTGCCTTTTTTTCCCCTTTCATTTTTCATTTCCAAGCATTTGTGATTTGACTAATGAATAATTACCCAAACAGTAAAGTTGGGTGAGATTCTAAAATTATTAAATATTAAACTCTCATTCTTTTCTAGGAAGAAGAAAAGGATTATAAAGGCCCTAATCCAAGAGAGCTGCTGGAACCACTCTTTAAGCAAAGCAGTTGTTCTTACAGGGTAAGTGTTCTGCATTCACTTGATAACCAGGAAATAAACTTTCAACAATCAGTTAACCCCAAAAAATAATTTTGCATTTCATTTTACTGTATGTCGCATCAAATTTTAAGTTATAACTTTAAGCTATCACTTACTAGTATTTTGCTCATGTAAATTCCTGTATGATAGAGGCAACAGATACTGGGTTTTAACAGTGCCAAATAATATTGTTTATCCAACTGTTTGGAATGTTTTTCAGGAAAGGAAGGAAAGGAAGCTTTTCATGTCCCGGGAATAGTTCAGAGGGCTGGAGTGCATGCTTTGCTTGCAGAATCCCAGGCACCACATGACCCCCCCAAAACACTGCCTGGGCAGGGCCCCAACTCCCTTCCCCCAATAAAAATGTCTCTATGTACAATTTTAACTCAAAAAAATCTAATTGTTATTTTCTGGGCTATACAGAATTGATTCCTAAACTCAGTGGTTATGGTAGACCCCCCAGTACTTCCTTTTGCAGAATCCTCACATATCACTATACAGTGCAAACAATGAAGAGACTTAAGTAGTTTCCCACTGTTCCAAGCCATGATATATTAAGTATAACTTAATGAAAATGTATGTGAAATTTTTGGAAATCTATTAAAATATCCAGTGATAGCACAGCAGGTAGGGCATTTGCCTTACACACGGCCGTCCCTGGTTTGATTCCTCTGTCCCTCTTGGAGAGCCCGGCAAGCTACTGAAAGTATCCCACCTGCACGGCAGAGCCTGGCAAGCTCCCTGTGGCATATTCGATATGCCAAAACCAGTAACAAATCTCACAATGGAAATGTTACTGGTGCCCGCTCAAGCAAATTGATGAACAAGGGGAGGACAGTACTGCAGTGCTATTTATGTTGGGGTGGGGCCCTCTCTGCCGCTCTTGGCCAGCCATGACCATGGCAGCCAGTGATCCCATGCCCTGGTGCATTTGTGTTCACGAGGTCTGAAACTTGAGCAGGATGGACAGTGCCTAAGACAACGTCTGCGCTTTGGGCTCTCTCCCTAGACCACTCACTGTGTCTAAATCCCTCTATCTTGCTTAGATTGAGTCTTACTGGACTTACGAAGTATGTCATGGGAAACACATCCGGCAGTACCATGAAGAGAAAGAAAGTGGGCAGGTACGTTATTCTTAAAAGTATGAATTATGAAGCACTATAAAATAATTTTAATACTAAGATTGATATCAACATTGTGTTTTAATAAATGTCATTTCAAAATATTTGTTTCTGTTTTCTTTTTCAATACAGAAAGTAAATATTCATGAATACTACCTTGGAAATATGTTGGCTAAGAACCTTCTGTCTGAAAAAGGTTTGTTTCTACAGAATGATTTTATAGTGCTGTTGGAATTTGGTGTCAAATATATGTTCTCATTGGAAATTAAAAGATTTATCGAAGATGATAAATTTTAAAACTCTAAATTTCATAGCAATCTCTCAGAAAGTTTTACAAAGAGGTTTTCATTTTCTGCTTTAAGAAACATTGTGCTTTTCTACTGTAATATTAAAGTAAAAAAATTTTATTTGCGTCTCTTATTTTTGTTCTGGGGCCATACCCAGCAGCGCTTAGGGCTTATTCCTGTCTCTGCATTCAAAGATCACTCCAGCAGTGCTCGGGGGATCAAACCCAATTCGACTATGTGCAAGGCAAGCTCCCTATCCACTGTGCTATCTCTCTGACCCCAAGCAAAAAAATATATGGGGAAATAGGCATGTGGTTTGATCCCTCAAGTTGTAAAATGTTTCTGTTCATTCATATTACTCAGATGGGTCAATTATTTTAAAATTAAGCTTTTCACTGAAGTGAAATTCTTGAGCAGAGGAGCTCTGGAGGTAGCAGCTCAGGGCTAAAGCACGTGCTTTCCATGGGAGGTCCCACCTGCGTGTCACCAGGAGCTGCCCCCAACCACCACTACGTATGGCCCAGAAAAGGTCGAGGAAGGCCCTGGGAGAATAAGCCCACCTTGCGGGGGTCACGCTATCGGTCCTGTCCCTGGCCCTCCCATGTGCAACGGCAAGTCCTGCCGCTCAGCTGGCATGCTCAGACTGAGAGCACTGTGCCAGGAGTGCAGCTGTGGGGGAGCACGACCAGATGGTGCTCAAGCCCCAGCTCCTCGCAGCAGCTGAAGGCAGAAGGGAAGGGGGATTCAAAGAAAATTTCTTCCAAGGCAGCTCAGATAGAGAAGGGAGCACCAAATAAAAGGTGTTGGGAGGATCCTCCCAGGATGGGAGAAGCATGCTGAAAGTAGACTATAGACCAAACATGATTGCCACTCAATGCCTATTTTGCAGACCACAACACCCAAAAGGAGCGAGAGAATAAAAGGGAATGCCCTGCCACAGAGGCAGGGTGGAATGGGGGGGTGGGATGGAGGATGGGAGGGATACTGAGATACCATACTGTTCCGTGGTGGTGGAAAATGGGCACTGGTGGAGGGATGGGTATTTGATCAGTGTATAATTGAAACCCAAGCACAAAAATTTGTAAGTCTACAACTGTACCTCATGGTGTTTCACTAATAAAAATTTTTTAAAAAAATTCTTCCAAAGAAAACTCTTAGGGCCAGAGATGTGGCTTAGGGCAAAAGCATGTGCCTGGCCATCCAGAAGCCCAGCATCACCGGTTGGAAATTAAAAAATACTAATTGCCCGAAGGAAACTGGTAGGGCCACTTCAGAAATAGACTCATGCCCAGTAAAAGCATAAAGATGAAACAAATTCTAAGAACTTTGCCAAAAATTGTAAGATTGTAAGCTTTGAGTCATCTTTAGAAAGAGTATAAAATTAACGGAAAAGTTAGTCATTTGAATCTTATTATTTACACTTACCATGCCCTTATATTCCACAGAACAAGAAGCAGAAGAAACAGAAAAATCAAAAGAGGCAAGTGATAAATGTTGATTTTTCACTCATAACATCTATTGTTAGTGAGGTATGAATTTATACTTAATTGAAAGAATATAGCTATGTGTTCCTTAACTATCAAATACCTCGAAAGAATTGATTCAAATGAAAGTTTCATTTTGTATTTTTTTCATTCCATAGTAAAAGTTGCTGTAATATACTTTTTTTTGCTCTTAAAATCACACAAAAGTAGGAACAGAGCGATAGTACAGCAGGTATGCAGCTTGCCTTTTACACGGCCAACTTCCATTCACTCTCCAGCATACCATATAGTTCCCCAAGCACCACCAGGAAAGATTCCTGAGTGCAGTCAGGAGTGATCCCTGAGCATCATTGGGTGTGGCTCAAAAACAAAAATAAAGTTTAAAAATCCAACAGAAGTAAATAAATCTAGCAGTGTTATATCTGGGAAAAGTGCCGTTAGTAGCATTAAATCACTCCTGTGTTAGCAGACATTCTAAGTTGGAAAAAAACATAGTATGAGCTTTTGCATTTACTCCTGTTGTTTGAGCCCTATTTCCTGTAGGCAGATGAGATAAGAGATATGTGAAAATTGTAATAAACTCCCAAGAATATAGTAGATTACAAGAATGCATTCTAGAAGCACAGACTGTCTTCTATCTGTCTACGCTAGAGTACAAAGCAGAGAGCTAAACAGAATGCGTGCACTTCATAAATGACTGTTGAATATGAATACATGCTTAAAGACTGAAAAATATGGTTGTTTTTAAAGGATGAGTCTTTGGGGCTTGAGTAATAGCACAGTAGGTAGGGAGGGCATTTGCCTTGCATGCGACCGACCTGGGTTCGATTCCTGGCATCCCATATGGTCCGCTGAGCACTGCCGGGGTAATTCTTGAGTGCAGAGCCAGGAGTAACCCCTGTGCATCGCCGGGTGTGACCCAAGAAGCAAAAACAAAAAAAAGGATGAGTCCTGATGGGACCTAATAATAATTTAAGAAAACCTGTGGCCCATAGGAGTAATGCAGTAGCTCAGAGCATCCGCTTTGCAAACACTCAGTTCTGAGTCCAGATCCCAGCATCCCAAGCACAGCCTGGCAGCTCTGCGACCAGGTGTGAGCACCACAGAAGGGACGCATGAGTCCTAAAGCCGCTCAGCCTAATGTTGCAGGAGCGCCAGGCCCTGTGTGAGCATCTGTGACTCCCAGGAAGCAGCACAGCCAGAACTGCTGAGCCTCCAGAGTGCGGTACCTGCCAAGCTCCACAAGTCAAATGGGTGCCAGCCCACAACCAGGCCAGTATGCAAACCCTCACCAGCCAAACAGCATCAGCAGCAAATGGGGGGGGGGGGGGGGCGGGATAAAATTATTTGTATTACAAATATTTCCTTATGAAAACATTGGAAATTAAAAAGAATTTATAGGGATTCCACAGATTGAATCCAGAACCTCATAAGTAACAAAGCATACGCTACTGAATTATAAGTGCCTTTGTGAGTTCAAGGGATGCTTTTGGAATCCTAAGACTTTCCATGGTTTAAATGTTGACAGGGTATTTCTGTAAATGATCACATACCCTAGTGACAATTAGAATCAAAGTGAAGGTAAATGGCCTCAAAAATGATTTTGAAATAATGCTCATACTTTTAAAAGGTTGGTAGACTTTGGATAAGCTAATCCTTTGTAGAGACACAAATAGCATGGCTATGTTTTAAATATTTTAATGTTGCAAACTGCCTTTGAGATGAATTGTTTATTTACTATGGTTCAAGAAAATATAAGGATGGAATTGAAAGTGTGAAATGATAAAGTAGGAGGAAACAAGGTCAAGGAAAGAAAATAACATTTGTTGAGCCTCAATTCTAAGCTAAGTACTGTGCGGGGCGTTTCATAAAAGGTAATGCTTAATCCTTCCTAGAGAACATGAATGTATATTACTCTTCTTTTAACGTGACAAAAGTTGAAATTTGGTCATAAAACCAGTAAACTCAAAATTTGGGCATAGGACCAGTATAGTAGTACAGCAAGAAGGGCACTTGGCTTACCCATGACCAACCTGGGTTTGATCTCAGGTACCCCATATGATCCCCAAGTCTTCCAGGAGGGAGCCCTGTGCGCCGCATGGATAAAACCTGAGCACTGGGTGTGGCTCAAAAAGAACATTTTTAATGGATTTTCTAATGACACACAAGCCTGAAAATAACATAAATCTTGAGATATTTTTTCCTAGAAGTTTGTTTGTTTTTAATTGTTTGGAACATGGCGCCAAAGTGATCCAACATGAGTTCCTGCCTCCAAGAGATTGCTTAAACATTATATTATTAACACTGTCTTTTTCACTCCTTACTTTAGATTTTCTTGTATTTTTATAGCTGTGAAAACTAAATCTTGACTAATAATAGTCTCGTTACCCCAGCCCATGAAAATTTCATTTGTCTTTTTCTTCCCTTGAATACATGTATCTGAGTTCATATGCTGGAAAGTATATCTTTTACTATTAATAATGGAACAAAAGTAAGCAGAACAATGAATCTGCATAGCAATTACATTTCTATTTTAGAAGATTGTGTTTTTCTATTTAATTCCATTTTTGTCAAATCAAACTTCTGAGTTTTAGTATGTGTCCTCTAAACAGTCATTCACTGAGGACTTCCTGAAGAACTCTTCATGGTCCAGTACCAAGGGTAGGACCTTGCTTACATGGTTGATCATCCAGGTTGATCCCACGCATCCCATATGATACGGTTCCCTGTGCACCACCAGGGTAATTCCTGAGTATGGAGTTTAGAGTAACCCCCAAGCACTGCCGGTATAGCCCAAAAAGAAAGAAAAATTCCGACAGTGCAAGAGGTTTCTGTATTTTCACCTCCTTCTTTAGAACCGCCAAAAAAAATCTTATCATGATAATGATAGCCTTTTATATGAATTGTTCATCTTAACTTTATTATTTTTATTTTGTTGTTACTTGGGGGCCACTTCTAGTAATGCTTAGGGCTTACTTTTGGCTCTGTGCTCAGGGACCACTCCTGGCAGTGCTCAGAGGGACCATATGTGGTGCCCAAGATCGAACCCAGGTGGGTCCCATGCAAGGCAAGTGTCACTGTACTATATCTCCAGCATTTAGTACTATTTCTCCAGCATAACATTTTAGTTTTAGCACCAAATAAAAGATTGTTTTCTCTTAAAGCTTGTTCAACTAAGAATTTAGGAATCAAAAGAATATTAGGGGGGAAATTTATCGAATATACAGAAATATTATCTTTTGGTTTATAAATTAAATGGTTCTATTCCTTTCAATATAAGTGCTTCTCCTATCTTTAACCCCACCTCCACTTCTAATAAAAAGTCTGTCTTGCACTCTTTTTTTTTAAGATTCCTACTAAAAACATTGAAGGTCAGATGACACCATACTACCCTGTGGGGATGGGAAATGGGACACCTTGTAGTTTGAAACAGAACCGGCCCAGATCCAGTACTGTGATGTACATATGTCACCCGGAGTCCAAGCACGAAATCCTCTCCGTAGCCGAAGTCACAACTTGTGAATATGAAGTTGTCATTTTGACACCACTCTTGTGCAGCCATCCTAAATATAGGTAGGATGGGGATTGGATATGTAAGCATTAAATATTATATTATGTATAACATACAGGCATGCTCTGAAGTGTTTGATACTTAGCTCTAGTTCTTTGTCCTTCCTACAGATTCAGAGCATCTCCTGTGAATGACATATTTTGCCAGTCACTGCCAGGATCACCATTTAAGCCCCTCACCCTGAGACAATTGGAACAGCAGGAAGAAATACTGAGAGTGCCTTTCAGGAGAAATAAAGAGGTATGAGAATTTTCTAACACTGTATTTTCGGGGCTTCTCCACCCCCAACCCCGGCCAAATTTCAGAGCATATATCAATGTTTGATTTCTGTAGTATTATAGTTGTTTTGTTTTGTTTTGTTTTTAATTTTCCTGACTCAGAATTTTAGGTTCCATTTCTTTTCATTTATTTATTTGTGGTGCCAGTTCTACCCCAGGGTCTATCCTAGGGTCTATCACAGACTAACCCAGGCTGTATCCCAGGGTCTGTCCCAGGCTCTATCCCAAGCTCTATCCCAGGCTCTATCCCATGCTCTCTTCCAGGCTCTCCCAAGCTCTAACCCAGGACCCCACAGGAAGTGCTCTGCCTGAGCTTCAGTTTGTTTTTATTTTTTTCTAGTCCTTCTTTTTCCTTGCAATCTCTTAACAGTGATCTCATAATAATACAAAACTTTACATCCTTGTGTTTAATGTCAGCTAGTTGCCTTGATTTCCCAGCTAACCCTCAGGGTACTTTCCCAGTGTCTGGTCCATTCCTGGCACACCAGCATCCTCTAAAGCCATCCTGATAGCAGTGACCCTACAGCGCTGCGTCCACTCGCACTTGGATGACATTCTTTATCGCATGCAGCACTTGACATTGAAGCCTAAACTCCCAGATCATTCTCCTTCCTACACTTGCCTCTTAAAAAGTTGAAATTCTCATAGTTTTATCCCTTGCTGCCATCTTTTATTGATGTTTATAATTTTGTTGTTGTTTCGGGGGTCAAACTCAAGCTGTGCTCAGGGCTTACTCCTGGTTCTATGCTCAGGAGTCCCTCCTGGTGGCACTGGGGACTGTAGGTGGTTGCCAGGAACCGGGCTGGCCAGCCCAGGAAAACAAGTGCCTTTCCTCCGCCGGCTCGCTGACCCTGTTTAGCACTTTAGCACCAAAGGAAAGTGTTGATCTAGCTCTGTACTCGGGGATCACTCCAGGCAGGCCCTGAAGCTGCTCGGCTGTGTGCAAGGCAGACAGTGAGCCTGCTGTGCCGTCTCCAGCCCTTTGTGGCATTTTCTTAAGTGAGCTCGTCCGTGCCCATTCTTGAAACATCTGCTGTACTGCCCGGCACTTCCTGAGAGCGTCAGCACTGACCTTTCTCCTCAGCCCATACTCCATTCATGGAGACTGCCATGTAGGGAATCTTGTCTCAGCTCAGGAAGCCACGGGCCTGTCTGTATCGTCCCTCCATTTGGTGGCAGTTGCTCTGTTTGGGGGCATTGGGGGGCTGGGCCACTACTAGTGGTGCTCTGGCACTGTCGCCAGCTCCATGCTCAGGAGTCACCCCTGGGGGTGCTCGGGGAGCAGAGCTAAACCTCTTGCATGCAGGGCACTGGTCGGCTCACTGAGAGTCTTTCTAACCAGCTCAAGTGTCCCTTTTAACAAATTAGGAAGCTGAGGCTCAGGGAGGGGCAGTGACAGGTGATGGGTTATTGATCAGAATCAGCACATCCTGACCCTGGAGTCTTAACTGTGACGCCTTTCCTTTTTGGTACACTGTCTCCTTTCCCTGTCACTTTAGTAATCCCAAGGGGACCATTTTTTCCATTTCACACTGGCCCTTGTCTCGTCCATTACTTTCCCCGGTGAGTAGAGGCAAGGTAGCTTCCTAACAGTGCCTAAGTGGTCAGAAGCTGGATCTGGGGCTCCACAGTTCAGTGCTTGGGCCTAGAGGTGCACTGCAGCCTGGACTAGGTAGTGCTCAGGCCATCGTGGCCACATGCAGTGGCGCACAGTGACCGTGCAGTTCCTGGGGGCATGACCTGCAGCCTTCGGGGTGTCCTGCTCATTGCATTTAAAGCACTGTATCCAACTGTCCCACTTAGAAACCTGTTGCTTTCTGCCTGTCTCCTGGTTCATCTCAGACTCTCACCTTCTGCAGTGATGTTGCTCTCTTCCTGATGGTACTCAGATACAACCTGTTCCTCGGTCAGCACCTCATCATTTCTAGGAACAAGAAACTACCCAGCCACTTCCTTATTCTCACACAGTCAATCCAATGCTCTTTCTAAATGAACATCTGATTTTGGATTTAATCCATTAGTGATGTTCGTGATACGTATCTGGGGCGCCAGATAGTACAGCGGGAAGGGCGCTTGCCTTGCATGGGGCCAACACGGGTTTGATCCCCAACACCCCATATGATCCCCTGAGCACCTGCCAGGAGTAACCCCAAGCAATGACAGGCGTGGCCCACCTCCAAATATATATAAATGATATATGTATAGGTTTTATATATATATATCATATTTAACCAATAGAGTATACTATAAAAAGGTAAAGGTAAAGGCCCTCCCGTTGATCGTCGATTTGCTCGAGCGGGCCCAGTAACGTCTCCATTGGAGACTTTGTTGTTACTGTGTCTGGCATATTGAATACTCTCGGTAGCTTGCCGGGCTCTCCAAGAGGGGCGGAGGAATCGAACTCGGGTCGGCCATGTTGGCCGCTTGTAAGGCGAACGCCCTACCCGCTGTGCTATCGCTCCAGCCCTATAGAGATATATATAGTATATGTATATAATATATTTAAGAAACAGTATATATTGGTATATATTTTTGTGTATACAATATATATTATAAATGAATATACATATAGCTTAACATATATAAAAACATGTTCATGTATCAGTATACAATTGTTGATCATGGAATTTATAGGGACTACGAGCTTATCAGTTCTGACTTCAGACTTAGTGCCCATCTTCATTCCTTCCCATTATCCCTACTATTATAAAAAAACTTAGAATTTCCTAAAACTCTCACATGCTTTCCAACTTCTTAGTTTCATGTTTTTTCCCTGTTGCCTCTTTACCCATAGAAACCACACTTCACAGATCTTACTGTAGAAACAAGTTGCTGAGTCCTTAATGACAGACTGAGAATGACCAACATATCCCTGACTAGAAAATATAACTAATATTTATCCAACTTTCTTTTTACTATTAAGTGTTGCAAAATTTGCTTATAATGCCTTCAAAATGAGTGGGCAACCCATAATTTCTAAGTTGTATATAATTTTTAAATAATTTAAAGTAGTAGACAACGGCGGCATGGAAGTTATTAGACCTTTTTATAATTACTTTTAGCGGCATGGAAGTTATTAGACCTTTTTATAATTACTTTTAGGAAGATCTGCAATCAACTAAAGAAGAGAAATTCCCAGCAATCCACAAACCTATTGCTGTTGGCTCTCAGCCTCTGCTCACCGTTGGAACAACCCACATTTCCAAGCTGACAGATGACCAGCTCATAAAGGAGTTCCTTAGTGGGTCTTACTGTTTTCATGGGGTGAGAAGTAAAACTTTGGTTTGAATTTTTATCTTAATAATTTTTATTTGTCACTCATGTAAGCACAGGACATTAATAGCACTGAGAAAGAATTTAGTCTCTGGAGAAAAGACAGAATTCTAGAAGACGCCAGTGAACATTTCTTAGCATCTTACTGTAACCTACCCCACGCCCATCACGTTGCCTTTCTTTACAAGCTGAGAAGTGACCTTTACTTGGCATGAAGCAGCCGGTGGGCTCTGACACTGATTGTTAGAAGGACTTCCCTGACTCATAGGAGCTCTGGGAATTCTCGCTCAGGGAGTACAGGTTCAGTTTCACTCGGTGATTCTTGATCTCCAGCCATAGTGTTACATTTGCAGGAAATTCTGTCACCTCATGTGGCAGCATTGAGGGAGCCCATCTTCCTTCCCTTTCTCGGCTCAAGAATGGTTCTGTTTTCTTTCCTCTAGGGTGTTGGCTGGTGGAAGTATGAGTTCTGCTATGGCAAACACGTCCATCAGTACCACGAGGTACAGAATAGCGCGCGCTATCTCTCTGCTCTCGGGGAAGTGAAGCCTAAAATCCTTCGTAGACATAAAGAGAGGCACTGTTGTTACTTTTAAGTATGAAAGTACGAAGGATTTTGATATGGTTATACTAATCAGTGTGTAAATTAAAGAAAATAGAAACTAACAGTCATCTTAAGCTGACATTCCTGTATCTTTACAAACTTGGAGAAATAACAAGCTATTATGACTAACCTCTAGCTTTGATTGAAAAAAATCAAGTAAACGAATGAGAAGATAGTATATTATCACTAGAGTTAGTAAAATAGTTAAATTTACTTTTTTTCTTAGTTAAAAAAGATACCAGGTCATTAAATTTAATATGAGCTTTAAGATACCAACCTTTTATTATTATAATTTCATTAATTAGGCATTATTTCCTCCTACACTTGACCTAAATGCTTAAATTCTCAAGTTCAAGCCCCAGTAATTTTGTTACAGTTGTACTTTGGTATGGTAAACTTGCTAGACACTGAAGACAAATTTTAATTGCTGTTAACCTAAATTAAAAAGCTTTTTATTGACCGAAAGAAATAATCACAAGGAAATATAAAATACTTTGTTTGCCTTCTTTGAGATGTTTTAAGATGTTCTTAAATTTCAAGTTAGGCCATATGGGAAAAGATACCATGCATGCTTAAATCACCCCAACTTGTGAGACACTAGAACGTTTCTTCCCTTAGCCTAAGAAGTTCCATTTCAGTGTGTTTCCATTTATTCTGCTGCTTTGTGAATATTATATTTTTAATTACATTTAGTAATACAGAAATATTGCTTCCAGATATCATCTAAGCACAGCCCAGACAATGCCTGGTGGCTCTGGGGGCATTGTGGGCACTGCCAGTGGCGCTGAGGAGCTGCTCCTGGCTCTGTACTCAGGAAACACCCCCGGCAGTGTGCAAGGGAACATGCCTGGTGCCCAGGGTTTAGTCAGGACTGGAACTTCCTATTTCCCAGCCTCTCCCCCTGTGGCTTTATAAAACACTTGCATGCCAGAAGTTCAAATAAGGAAACTGTCCCCCCACCATTATCCAGCATCTCAAAAGTAGCTGCTTTGTTAGTCGATAAACCCACTACCCCCAAGTGAAAATCAGGCATACATGTAAATGTTGGTATTGCCCTGAATGCCACAGAAACGCTCATAGCAAAGCCCTCTCCTCGCCCTGTTCCCCCACTCGGCAGAATGGAGCTTCCCATGTCAGCAACAGGGGGTTTTCATCTCTTTTTCACATCTAAATTTACGATGTTTGGGACCAGAGAGAGGATAGCAGTAGGGCACTTGCCTTGCACGTGGCCCTCTTGGGTCTATTCCCTGGCATTTGGTCCTTTGAGACTGCCAGGATTCCTACATGCAGGGCCAGGAGTAAGCCCCGAGAACTACCAGGTGTGGCCCAGAAAACAAAGAAAGAAATTCATAATCTATTTAATCAAACCTCTAGTAAACTTTTGAGGTTTTTTTCCAGTTTTCCCTCTCATAACGTCTTAGTGAACATTTGGAAATAATTCTATGGGACTCCGTGGGAAAGCCCATCACTTGCGCGCATGAGTCCTGGGCTGAGCCTGACAGCACGCAAAAGAAGTTAATGAATAAAATGAATAATTCTTCTGGTGAAGTGTGCTCCATCCTGGAGTATGTTCCTAGAGCATGTTTCTGTGCAGATGGGTCAGAGCATCTGCGTGCCGAATAATCGCCTCATGGTGGTGTGTGCCAGTTTCCAGTCCCGTCAGCAGTGGCTCTCCCGAGGCCAGGGACACAGACAAAAGTAGAGCACATGTTCTTCATGCCCGAGCACATGGTCCCCTGACCATTGAGCTCAGAACCAAGGGATACCCAAGCACTGAGACAACCCCAGAACAAAGCCAAGAAATGACTTTTTTTCATCTATTTGTCCACAAGGGCCCTACTAGGAACTTTGGGAAGTAGAAAAATAATAGACACTAATAGATGGGGTTCCTGTACACTAGATATATTCTAAATACTACAGTAACTCATTTGATCTTCATTTAGTACTTAAGAGGTATTGTTATCCCAGAATGAAGAAACAAAGCAGAAATTGAGGAACTCTCCTAAAATCACGTGCAAATGGATAACTAAATAGTCTTGATCCATATCTCTGTAGAGCTGTGATTCCAGTCTGCCTAGAAACTTCGGTCTAGTTCCTCAGTTAGCGCTCTATCTATCAGCCTAGACAACGAGCTCCACCGGGCTCTGTAAGAATTTTTAATTCTGATTGGGTACATATTAGTGCCGTTTTTCTTTTAAATGGAAGAAAGGGGAGAAGCAAAGAAGGAAGGGGAAGAGGAGAGGAAAGGAAGCCACCTATGAGGCAGAATGGGGTGTTTTAAGAATCAGTAAAGAGGGGGGTGGGAGGGAAACTGGCATCATTGGTGAATGGAGAGAATGGGCACTGGTGGAAGGATGGGTTCCCGATCATTGTATAACTGAAGCCGAAGCACAAAAACTTCTAATGTCCACAACTGTAGCTCATGATGTTTCACTAATAAAAAAAAAAAAAAAAGAATCAGGAAAGACACAGTGGGAGGCTGGGATGAGAGTTTCTGGACAAAATGTATCGAACCCGAACAAGTGCGGTGTGAAGTAAGTAGTCTGGAGCCCGGCACGATTTCCAGTTCCACATTTGGAAGAGGGAAGTAGGATGACAGTCTGAGTGCTACGACAGACGTGGCATCAGGCGATCAGGCAGTCCAGGTTCAGTTCTTGGCACCCCATGACCACCTGGTTCCCCTAGTGCCCCCAAATGTACCCCAAAAGCAAAAAAAAATAAACAAGAAGGAAAGAGCAGGCCAGGAGAGAAAGCACAGTGGGCAGGGCTCGTGCATTCTGGCAGCCCACCATGTTTGACCCCCACACACTACACACAGCTTTCTGAGCCCCTGCCGGAAGTGACTCCTGAGCACAGAGCTAGGACGAAGGCCTGTGTTCCCCGAACAAAACAGAATTGAAGAAGTAAAGACAGTAAGAACTGAAATTTCTATTAGTCAGGTTTTGCTCACATCGATTCTAAGCATGGATAGCCTTGTATATATAGATACAAGAACTTACAAGTGTAAATTTCAACTTGATAATAAGTGTTTTAATCACAAATATGTTTCTGTGTTTTGCTTTTATGTAAAGGACAAGGACAGTGGGAAAACCTCTGTGGTAGTGGGCACCTGGAACCAAGACGAGCACATCGAGTGGGCCAAGAAGAACACAGCGCGCGCCTATCACCTCCAGGATGATGGCACGCAGACGGTCAGGTAGAGCAGCCTCCTCGCTGTACCTGTGCAGAGTGCTGACCGTCAGGGCCCAGCATGTTGGCCCCCTGGCCAGTGTCTTCGGGCATCCTTCACTCCGGTCTCTTTGAGAGAAGGCCAAGATGGGTCACTCTGGCACGTTTCACTTGCTGCTGTGGAGGTGAAGGAGAAAGTACCCAGTGCCCCTCTGGGTTCCGGTCCACTCAGTCACGTCATATCCAGAATCCCCGGGGATGCAGAATCTCAGGCCAGTGGGGCCAGATGAGGGATCACTCAGCTCAGGAATAGAGAGTAAGGGTCTGGGGGCGTCCGAGAGGGATGGGGACGGGAGATAGTGCCAGGGGCTGTGTTCGTGCTTTCCCGAACACGCCAAGAGGACTTTAAGGCCATACTCTAGCCTTACCCCCACTCTGAACCCGGGGATCGGGGACCCATGTGAGACATAGGGGATTGAACTCTGCTCAGGCACGCGGAACAAGTGTTCCACCCATTGCATCATCCCTCTGCTTCCCAAAAGAACCTTTTTTAAAAAACGGGGCACTCATATGACAAAGCCCCAGCAACCTATAATTAGATGCTTCCTTGCCATATGGGTAGTTTGCTCCCATTCTTACTTCTGATAAGATGATAAGAATCCCTTTTCTGGGGATTACCTCCAGTTCTTATTTTTCTCATAAAGAATTGTAAGTTTTTCATGAGCCTGGGAACCTCTATTGACCACAGCTCGAAAGAATCTACATGCCAAAGTTTTGTATGTTCATTATGAAATCTGAAATACCTTCTCCATGATGGAAACTTAAAATTTGGTATTTTAAAATAATATTTAACCAGTGAAAATCTGATCCCCTTAACCATCTTCTCACCCTTTATTATCATTGTGAATTAGGATTGGAAAAGGTTTACTTGAGTAAAGCTTGTATGTTTCTCTGATTCAGGATGGTGTCACACTTTTATGGGAATGGAGATGTTTGTGATATAACTGACAAACCAAGACAGGTGACTGTGAAGCTAAAGTAAGTCAGACCAACTCACACCTTCTGCCTTCTTAGTCTGTTACCTATGGGCAAAAGTGTATACAAATCTATGATTATGAGCAATTGCAGTTGCAGTTGCAGTTCTATATGGATGTTTATAAGGTTAGTTTTATTCTAAAATGCTGATATCATTTTATAATTGTTTACAAGATTATTGGTAAATATTATTTATTAAATCACACATGATTTTACAACTTACGGGGGGAAATACCTGTTGGGGTCAGGAGATAGGCTAGAGCCCAATCTTTGCGGTATTTCACCCCTTAGTCCCCCATACCAGGAGCTATAATCCTGCAGCACTAATGCGCCCCCCCCCCCGAAAAAAAAAAAGAAAAATCCAAATAAATGTGTATGATTTGGGTATTGCCCTAACGTGCTCTTCGTTTCAGGTGTAAAGAATCAGATTCTCCTCATGCTGTTACAGTATATATGTTAGAGCCTCATTCTTGTCAGTATATTCTTGGGGTAAGTAAAAAAAAAAAATCAAGTTTCATTTTAAACTGTGTTTTTGATTTTTAGCATTAAGTCTCAGTAGAACCTTCATCTCCTCAAAGTTTAGTATAGCCCCCACACCATCTTTGTAAAAATTGCCATCTTCTTTTAAATTGGGGTACAATTCACATATAAGAAGCAATGGTTCAAATGTTGAGATTGATGAAATTTAGGCAAACTTTATATCCATGGAATCAATACTGCAGAAAATTTTCCTGTTCCCTACTTCTGTTCCGTCCACACCCCTCAAACGTGAAAGACCATTTCTGATTTTTGATACCACTGATCTGTTTTGTCTTTTTTTTATTCCCTATGAATGGAATTAAACAGGAGCCAGGGAGATAGTGCAGGTTAAACCGCTCGCCTCCAGCCAGTCCCAGCACCGCATGTGGCCCACCACCAGGAGTGACCCTGACACAGCCAGGCCTAAGGCCTGAGCACCAACCAGTGGGTGTTCCAGAAACAAAGAGGGAATGAGCATTGCTTTTGCTTTTGTCTGTTTGGAGTCACACCCAGCACATGCTGAGGCTTCCTCCTGGCTCTGCACTCAGGAATTTCCTCTCTCTCTGCTCACAGCAAGGGATTGAAGCCAGTGGGTTGCTGGCAAGGCAAGTGGCGTCCCTGCTGTGCCATCGCACTGGTCCCCCATCGGTCTTCTACACATTTCTGCTTTTGTCTCCTTATTGTTTTTATTCTACGTAAGACCGCTTTATAACATTATACTGGTTTTAGGTGTCCATCACTGTATGTTAAGTTCATCATTAAAAGTCTAACTCTGGGGCCTGAAGAGCATGCTTCGCATACGGGGAGTCCAGGTTCACTCCCTGGTACCTCATGGTACCCTGAGGACTGCCGTGAACAGCTTCTGAGCACCACGCCAAGAGCAGCCCTGGAATACTACCAGGTGTGGCCCGCAGAGCAAACCAGGCAGGAAAAAAGATCTTATTCGGCCTTTCACCATACGGTCATCTTTCACCCGCTTCATCACCTTGTTTTTCCCTTCCTGCTGCTCACCATGAAAAGTTTGTTTTTATTTTACTTAATTAGGTTTTTGTTTGGTGTTTTGTTTGGGGGATTTTGTGGGTTTTTTGTATTTCAGATATATTATGGTTACAAATTCTTAGTGTTATATTGCACACACACCCCCCAACCCCTCCCCAGGCTATGGCATTGCCTTCTTTTTGTTGTTATTTGTTGTGGGGCCACACCTGGCAATGTGAGTACTCCCAGCTCTGTGCTCAGACATCAAACCCAGATGTGTGCCAGGGACGGAACTCTGGCCTCCTGCATTCAAAGCCAGTCACTCAGTCTGTTCCGCTCTTCTCTGTTCCCATATTCATTTTATTCATGTCTTTCAGTTAACAGGAGATTGTTGAAATGTACTAAATTTGAATTTTATTAGTCTTAATTTTTTTGGTCCCAAAATTTTTTGCTACCCCAAAGTAATGAAGATTTTTACATAGTATTTCTTTCCAGAAACTATGTTGTGACTAAAGATTTTCTTTGTGTTTTGAATTCACTGAGTTTCTTAATATAATTTATAATTATTGGGGCTGGAGAGATAGCACAGTGGGTAGGGCATTTGCCTTGCACACGGCCGACCCGGGTTCTATTCTCAGCATCCCATATGTTCCCCCGAGCACGGCCAGGAGTAATTCCTGAGTGCATGAACCAGGAGTAACCCCTATGTATCACTGGGTGTGACCAAAAATTAAAAAAGCAACAAAACAAATAATTTATCATTATTGGGGGGGGGGGGAATTGACCCTTATCTCCTCAAGAGATTTCTTCTTGCCCCCCTCTTTCCTCCTCTTAATTCTGGGACTCAAATATGTGAGTTTGAAATTATCCCAAAATTTTAGCTGCTCTATTTTAACTCTCAAGTTCCTTGTTTCAGTTTGCGTCATTTCTGTTGAACTTCTGATTCTTTCCTGTGCTGTGTCAGTTCATCAATTATCTTAGTATCAGGTCATTTCATTGCCTGGCCCATCTTTGTTGTTATGTCGCTCTTTGTCTTTTCCTTGAATTGCACAACCATTCTGTCAGTATTCTATGGTATCCTGTTTCTGGTTGTATAAGATCTAGCTGTATTGGGCCAGAGAGATAAATACTGCGGTAAGGTACTTATGTAAGATCCACTGCCTTGCTGGCAGCCGATCCAGGTTCAATCCCTGCATGTCCCCTCATCATCACCGGGAATGATCCCTGAGCTCAGCCAGGAGTAAGCCCTGAGCACTATCAGGTGTGACCCAACCCCGCTCCTCCCCCCTCCAAAATAAGGAATAACATTGGATGATTTATCCAAAACAAAGACTCGTGTACCTTTATCATATTTATGTGCATGTTCAGCTTAATTTTTTAATGGTGTATTGTTCTTTAGGTTGAATCTCCAGTGATCTGTAAAATCCTAGACACAGCAGATGAAAATGGACTTCTTTCTCTCCCCAACTAAAGGATAATAAAGTCCAGGGAAAGAAAAGATCATTGACAGTTATGATTTCTGAACTGAACCTCATACGAAAGATCATAAAAGGACTCAGCTGTTTGTGAATAATATGTGTATATAAGAGGTTATAGATAAACTTCAATTGCTGACATTTCTCTCACTTTTTTTTCATATTTTTGTTGTGTCTTATGAACTGATTGTGCACATTTTTCATTGCTTGGCTAATGTGATTTCAAAATAAATCTCATCCAAGCAATTTAGAATCCAGTCTAATTAAATGTCTTAATTGTTATACCTATTGAAGAATTTTGAATAAATTTATTATGTAAATTATATGTAACTAGTTAATGAAGCAAAAATAATGAAGAAAGAAAATAATAGGCAGTTGTTCAAATGAGAGACTGTAAAATATGTAAATTCTAGTGCCTAAAATCTTGCCAACAAAATTTTTATTTAGCAACCGCTCCGTACCAGGTAATAAGTTAGAAACTTAATAGAGCCTTACAAATAAGTTTTTTTTAACCTCTGTCAATCTCAAGAAACTCCTATTTGTAATAAGTTGCTTCTCTCTTAATTTTGAGCTCTTTCTTTCTCCTTGACATTAGTATGTTTGTCCCAATCTATATGCCCGGTATAGATAGTCAGTGATACTCTTTTGATTTTAAATGGTTTACTCTAACAAAACACACTGTGCTGGCTAGCCTTTGTGCTCGCCTACTGTATACTGCAGATTTTAGTTTGACAGTTTTATAGCACAATATTTATTTTTAAGTGAATAAAGCATCCACAAGCAGTGTTGCAATGTAGTGTATAGTAGTTGATTCGGTTCTTTCTTTTCTGCATTGCCCTGTGTACACATTATCTTATTTTCAGCAAACATATCCGAATAAGTTGGTTACATTGGCCATAAAATACTTAACTTCTCTACCTTTCCAGTACGTCTAACCAGATATTTTAGTCTGAAAGGAGCCGATAAAGCTGACAACTGGGCAGGGAGGTGGGGGGGGAGGGGGCTCACAGTCTTTGTCATTCTTTTTTTTTTTTTTTTTTTTTATTTATTGAATCACTGTGGGAAAGGTTACAAAGCTTTCAGGTTTATGTCTCAGTCATGCAAATATCAAACACATTTCCCTTCACCAATACTCATTTTTTACCATGAAGAACCCCAATAAAACCCCACCCCCCACCCCTCCCCGTCCCTGTGAGGCAGATGAATTCTAGTTAACACTCTATCTGCTTTGATTAGATTCATTGTTTCAATAAAAGATTCACCACTATTATTTAGAGTTTACCCCCCCCCCCCCAAATCAGACATGCTGAAAAAGCATTGTGAGGTGATTTGCTTTCTACAGCTGGGTTCAAGAATTAAATGTTGGTTTTGGATTTCTGCTATTTTACCTATTTTATTAGTATGTTAGATTTATATCCACTTTTAATTTCCATGTGTACTCTCCACCATTACATATATACTTCACTTTTCTACATATAACAATATACAATCTTTCAATTCTGTGGGTAATACAAAACCTTCCCTACACCTCTTTCAGGCAGCAAAAGAAAAGAACATTCTTTTTTTTTTTTTTTTTTTTTTTTTTTTATTTATTGAATCACTGTGGGAAAGGCCACAAAGCTCCCAGGTCTATGTCCCAGTCATGCAAACATCAAACACCCATTCTTCACCATGAAGAACCCCCAACAAAACCCCACCCCCCACCCCTCCCCGTCCCTGTGAGGCAGATGAATTCTAGCCAACACTCTATCTGCTTTGACTAGACTCATTGTTTCAACAAAAGATTCACCACCATCATTTAGAGTTTACCCCCCCCCCCCCCCAAATCAGACATGCTGAAAAAGCATTGTGAAGTGATTTGCTTTCCACAGCTGGGTTCAAGAATTAAATGTTGGTTTTGGATTTCTGCTATTCCACCTATCGACCCCGGAAGTATTTCTACTGAAAGTCAGATAGTTAAGAAACTGGTTTCTGTGTTCTGGAGTCGCGGCCGTGCTGGAGAGCCGCTCGCGGGGGGCAACCGGTGGCCTCGGTAGGGCGCGAAGGGCGGAGCGAAACGCCCCCCTTCCCATGAGGCCCTAGTCGCCCCCACACTCCCGGCTCATACCTGCTGTCCACAAGGCTCCCATGCGGCCGCCATCTTTCTTTCCAGAGAGGAGAGGGCGAATGGGGCAACACCCTTTCCCCTCCGGCAGACTTGATGGGCTGGATCAACGCATAGTCCGTTCACTTTTCTGCTCCAAGCTGCTGGGTTCTGCATTAAGTCCTTGTGCTTCTGGGGCCATGGCCGTGCTGGAGAGCCGCTCGCGGGGGGCGACTGGTGACCTCGGTAGGGCGTGAAGGACGGATCGGAACGCCCCCCGACCCATGAGGTTTTAGTCGCCCCCACTCCCCCGGCTCATACCTGCTGTCCACAAGGCTCCCATGTGGCCGCCATCTTTCTTTCCAGAGAGGAGAGGGCGAATGGGGCAACACCCTTTCCCCTCCGGCAGACTTGATGGCCTGGATCAATGCATAGTCCGTTCACTTTTCTGCTCCAAGCTGCTGGGTTCTGCATTAAGTCCTTGTGCTTCTGGGGCCGTGGCTGTGCTGGGGAGCCGCTCGTGGGGGGCAACCGGTGACCTCGGTAGGGCGTGAAGGACGGACCGGAACGCCCCCCTTCCCATGAGGTTTTAGTCGCCCCCACACCCCCGGCTCATACCTGCTGTCCACAAGGCTCCCATGCGAGTCTTTGTCATTCTTCAGAATGACAAATATGGAAAGAGTATGCACTTTGAATTCTGACCCCACTCCTCTGACTCTTAGCCTCACCCCCATTTTGCGCTTTCAAGAGTGCGTTGGTACTTCCGGTGCAGAAAAAGCCTACTTCATGCAGCAGGAGAGGCCAGGGCTAAGTGAGGTCACCCCCAGGAGTGGTCCTGGTACAGAGCAGGAGCACCACCTGAGGCGGCCCAAATCCCTAGCACCCCAAGGGAAGCCCAGCTAGATGCCCAGAGGGGGCTGGTGCCCTGCCCACTAGCCCCATCACCTGGAATTGTAGGACGGAGGCTCAACCTGCTAGAATCTTTTCCTTTAGTGAATTATCTGTGTTTATGAGTGAAAGAAGACAAAGTTACCCTCATGTTAGATTGTAATCTAGGTGTGGGGCAGGTAAAGTAAGTAAAGTAAAGTAAAGGCCCTCCCATTGTTCATCGATTTTCTCGAGCGGGCCCAGTAACGTCTCCATTGGAGATTTTTTTGTTACTGTGTTTGGCATATCGAATACATCACGGGCAGCTTGCCAGGCTCTGCCATGCGGGCAAGATACTCTCGGTAGCTTGCCGGGCTCTCCAAGAGGGGCGGAAGAATCGGTAGAACTATGAAAAATTACTGTCAGACATGGGATATTCCATTCACAAGGAACATTTTTTTATAAGAACCTTTTATTTTGATTAGTCTTAATATGTTTCAAAACAAAATTTTGTGGGGGAGGGCTTAGCCAATGGTGCTCAGGGCTGACTCCTGGCTCTGTTCAGGGATCATGGTGGGGCTCTAGGGACTGTAGGGATTGAATCCAGGTCAGTCACATGCACACAATTCCCACCGCTGGACTGTGGCCCCGCCCCCAGATCAAAAGTTTATACTTTATGGATACAGTGCTTTACTTTATGGATACAGTTACTTTATGGATACAGCACCATCCGGGGGCCAGCGACCCCACCCAGATGCCAGCACCCCGGCCAGGTGCCAGCCCCGCTGCCTTTCCCCACATACACACAGTCTTGCGGGCCCCTCAGCCCTTCCAACAAGCACCTCCCCTCCGTTCTGGCAATTTTGGAAACAGTCTTGGAGTCAGTCTGAAGATGAATTTTCCTTTGGACTCTTGAGACGGGGACAAAAATCTTTAACACTCACACTGAAATAGTAAGTAGAACGTGAGGGAGCGGAAGATGGAATGACACCTCAGTGGTACCTTGAGCGCCACCAGGAGTGAGCCCAGCCCGGAGGCCGGACCAAGTCAGGAGCACAGCCCAGAGAACGGAAGGGTCAAGCGGGACTCGGCCTGTCCATCAGGACTTGAGCTTCCAGGGAGGGCGGGACCGGGGAGGGTCTCCGGGTGGGGTTGGACCGGAGGGGCGGGACTTGGAGATGAGGACGGGGTCCAGGGGGGGTCTTTGGATGGGACGTGGCCAAGGGAAGGGGGCGAGGTCCGGGGAAGGAGGCGGGGCCCAGGGAAGGAGCGCTGAGGGTCTCGGGAGTCTGGACCCCTGCTTCTCCTCCAGTCCCCCCAGGCCCGCTCCAGTCTGGCTGTGCTCCTTCTGCTCTGCAGCCGTTCTGTTTTCGTCGGCTTTCTTCCCTTTGCTCTTTTCTGTTGGGGGAACATCCAGCAGTTCTGGGGGCCGACCAGGGCCACTTCCGGGGGCGCTGAGGGACCGTGCAATGGCAGAATTCGAACCCAGGGCCCCTGCGTGCAAAACGTGCATCCCGGCTCTCTGAGGGTCTCCCTGGGACTGCACACTGGGTGTCTTAGAGGGCGCGGGGGTGAGTGGGGGTACCCAGCAACGCCGGGACTGCAGGATGCTGAAGCTCTTGGGGGTCTCTCCCAAGTGGGTGATCTTCCCCACTCACCATCTAGGTCTCCAGGGCAAAGACCCAGCACCTGCATTTTAAATACTTACTATCTTTATGTTAAATTCTCATGTCTGAGAAACACCTAAGATACTTTAAACATTTCACACATACCAACCCTCCTAATCAGGGTTCCAACTCCGGATGATTGGTTTGGTTTTTAGCCTACCTGCTTTCCTTTGAGACACCGTTAGGTGGAGCCTATTGCCCGTTTTTTGTTTGGTTTTTTTTTGTTTGTTTGTTTTTTGTTTTTGGTTAGTTTTTTTTTTTTTTTTGTATCCTTATATCCTTGATTAAAGGGACTAGCAACAAAAGGCATTCAATTTTCTCAACTATACTAAATGACGTTTAAAGATAAACTAGTATTATTGGTGTATAATTCTTGACTATCCTTTTCAGGCAGTCTGATCTACAAATCCCTGACAACTTCGGACAGTACTTAAATTTCCCAGTACATCGTGACTGACCTAGCACTGGATGTTTAGTATAAAAGGACTTGAGCTAAACAGAAAAATAAAAATCAAGGCTTAAAAGATTGAAAAGAAGGATTTACAAGCAGAGTTTCTAATTAAAGTGCTCTCCTAGAATCCTATTTTAGACTCTTCCTATTATTTTTGTGGTTTTTCTTGCCAAAGATTACATTTATTTCCATTTAAATAAAGAAATGGAGCTATCATAAATATGGGGTTTATAAATTATAACAAACTGCTGGAGTAAGTTTTCAAAATATGTTCCTGTGGTGATATAGTTTAAAAGGAAACCTTTGGGGCTGGAGAGAGTACCATCATTGGACACTGGCCTTGCACACAGCTGACCCCAGGTCAGTGATTCCTGAGCATAACCAAAAACAAACAAAATGGGAAATCTGTTTCTCTTTTCAGTTATTTTCCAAAGGTGATAGGGAAATCCTGGACCACAAATTACTCAAGGGCTGAGTCAGTGAGGTAGTACAGCAGGGAGAGCTCTCTCTTGCCTTGCATGTGGCCAACCCGGGTCTAACCCTTGCATCCAGTATGGTCCCCAAACCCTGCCAGGAGTAACCCCTGAGCATTGCCTGCTGAGTGTGGCCCAGAAACAAAAACAAACAAGCATACCCAAGGGCACACTTCTCATTGACAGTTGGGAGTTGCACATGCAGGCAGAATTACCCCATGGAAGAGAAAGTGAGAAATTCTAATATGCACATTT